AGCACCGCATCTTCACGTGGGGCTACGGCAGAGGCCCTCTCACCAACAATCACGCGGGCGTGGCCATCATGATCAGCAACCGCTACCGCATCAAGTGCGTGACTGAGCTCCCCAGCCCGCCGCCGAGCATTCAAGGACGCGCAGGAGCAGTTCGCCATTCGTCGAGGAGAACTCGACATGACCTTCATTGTTGCGTACCTACCTCCACGGTCAGGGCTCGCCAAGCACCACAACGCCTGGGTCAAGACGGCCAACGAGACGCTCAAGTGGATCAACAAGACCCTGAACGAGACGCCCACTAGGAGCACGCCGATCATCGGCCTCGACCTGAACGACCACTACGGCCAGGACGGTTTGCTTCCTGCCACGCCCAGCAACGTGATCGGCGACGCAGGCCCTACAGGAGTACCTGGAGAGGCAGCCGCTGCCTTCCACAACATGCTCGACGTGCACGGCATGTGCATCCTGAACACCTCCTGGAACGCGGGGCCCACGTACTTCGGAGCCCAAGGACAGGCCACACGTCCCGACTACACTGCAGCGCCTCAAGGACTACGCACCCACATTACCTCTTGCAGAGTCTGGTGGCGAGCGGCCAAGGCACTTCAACTCATCAATGACAACGTGCCGCGCGACCATGTCCCACTGATTGCAGCCGCCAATGTCATCATCCCGAATGTGTTCACAGATCTAAAGAGGACCGCCTGGGACTACGACAAGATGGCCCTGGCTCTGCAGACGGGCAAGTACCACAAGGAGTTCAATGACGCGCTGGAGTTCAATTTCGCCAAGCACCAGGACAAGCTGAAGGAGTTGGCAGGGGACAACACAGCGGACGAACACGGGGAGCTCATCGTGAACATCATGAAGGAGGCAGCCAAGCCCTTCTTCGAGCGCCAGAAGTCCAAGCCCGACCAGCACGACCAGCTCATGGAGGAACGTTTGCGGCTACTTCAGGAGCGCGCCAAGCTCAGAGAGGAGTACATCGGGACCGACCCCCACTACGAGATCGAGTACCATTCGAGGTCCTCTCACGCGCCCTCAAGAAGCAGAAGCGCCAGCACGAAGCCGAACGAAGACAACACTTAGAGGAGCGCATCTACGAGGCTTGGCAACGACGAGAACACGCTGAAGTACACCAACTGTCTCGACTCCTGGCCGGCACCAACTACGGCAAGCGCAACCGCAACTACAGCCGCGCGACCAGAGCACGCCCCAGCTTGCAGGAGTGGGCAGATCACATTGCACAAGACGGCCAGCGCGGAGGGTTCAGAGCTCACCAGATCGACCTCGAGGAGGAGAAGCGCATCTTGAGAGAGACCACCTACGAGTGCACCACCGAGCACAACCTACAAGTTCGCCAGGAATACGAGGACGCCAAGGACGGCATCAAGCGAGCACTCTACGGCGTCACCAAGCGGCTCAAGTACTTCAAGAAGCGCGCCTCCGTGCCAGACTGGTCACTGCCCGCCGAGATCTTCCAGATGACCCCCCAGCCCACCAACATCACCAAGCAGAAGTCGAAGACGACAGGCGTGGGCTACGATGACGAGCTCGCTGAGGCACCCCTCGCGCAGGAGAGCTTCGAGTCAGTCCTCAACCACGTGTATCGCGTCGGCTTCGCCCCACTCAACGCCCACCACAGCCAGAGCTTCACCCTCGACAAGAAGAACGGCAAGCCCAAGGTCCTCGGCTTGCGCATACTCCACATGCTGCGCCCCTTCTGGCGCTGCTTCTACAGACAGCTTCAGTGCAAGTCCAAGCCGTGGTCACCTCCACCTCATGCTCACGGCTGCTGGCCTCATCGGCGTCGCGAAGTCCCCATGGCAGCCTCCCGCATCGTCGCCTACCGCCTGCAGCGGGTCTAGGCAGACTTCATCGTCGGCAGCAAGGACGCCACCAACGCCTTCCCCAGCACCAAGATCGACAAGGCCATCAACACCATCTCGACCGCCCTCAGCGCAACAGAACAACGTCTATTTCACCAACGCCACCAGTGCGCCAGCGTCCAGATCGACGGGTTCGACTCCACAGGCGACTTCTACATCGGATCGGGGGTCATGCCAGGCTGCAGCACAGGACCGACATCCCTCAACTTCGTTTACGAACAACCAGTGGGACAATGGCTCGAGGAGACCCCGCAGGACACCGCCCCCTTCGCGGCCGTGTCACCCATTACGCAAGCCCTGCTTGACCTTTCCGTCTACCTGTACGTCGACGACATCTTCAAGATGCACCTTGCCCCATCGGGCGCTGCGCGGGACGCCGCCTCGGCCCTCGCCAACAGCAACACCATCCTCGATCAGTGGCTTGCCGAGTACGGGCTCCACCAGAACAGGGACAAGGAGGAGATCGTCGGAGGCCTTCGCGCGCGGAGGGGGAACCGAGCCCAAGCAGATCAAGTCCAAGGGCGAGTCCTTCGCAACCTTTCGTACCTGGGCGGCCACTTCCACCACGCCGGCAGCAACACCATCGAGATTGACATGCGCATCCAGAGCATCAAGCGAGCCCGGCACATCATGGGCAAGTTCTGGCATCGCAAAGTACCGTGGCGCCTCAAACGTACCATCTTCATTAACAGGGTGATCGGTGCCGCAGCCAGCGGCATGGAATCCTACCTCCCCAAGGACACCGAATACAAGCGCCTTGGCGCCGTCATTGCCACCTACATGCGCGTACTCATACAAGGCAAAGCCACCAACATCGACGAAGCGGGCACCTACCGCACCATGGCCAACAGCGAAGTGTTCAAGCACTGCCACATCTCCCCGATGTACATCGAGTTGCGAGTGAGGAGGCTGCGCATGATACAGGCCTCTGTCAAGTACCCGCCAGATTACTATCAGTGGCTCACGGCACTCTTCGGCTCCATCAAGTTCGAGAACGACTACAATCGCGAGCACATCGGAGAGCTAGACGACAATGGCCACCTCATCGCGGACGCGAACCCCATGGCGAAGCAGCACTACAACGACGTCCTCTCCATTCTCGAGTTAGACAGCGCCGAGGAGTTCAGCTACGCATGGGACGGGAGCATCACTCAACTGTATCACGACGCAGAAGTTGCAGCGGCTTTCATCAAGATCGACGCGGCAGAGCTCAGAGCCAGGGCATCAGCAGTAGCGATTCCACCACCTGGTTTCGAGCCTCAACCACACGAACAAGACCAACGAGCAGGAGACGAACTGGGTTACTACAAGTGTGACCTGTTAACGGACGCGGGACAAGTCTGCGGCCGAGTTTTTTCATCGTGGACAGCGCTCTGTACCCATCAGACCGCGACAAAAGGAGGAGAGCATGGGCTTCGATCAGCAAAAAATGCAAAAAAAAATAGGAACCACAACAAGACCAAAAAAAAGAAAGAAAAAAAAACACCGAAGCAGAACACCAAAAAGATCAAGCAGAAACAACAAAGCACACAAAAACAAAAACAACAACAAAGAAAAAAAAAAACATCACAACACAAAAACCAACATAAAACACAACTAAACGCACATCCAGCACAAACCCAACCAAGCAAAGCAAAAAAACGCCATCGACCAAAAAAAGAAACACGCAACAATCACTCGCAATATAAACACAAAACAACAAAAAAAAATATCACCAATAATCAAACGATAGTATACAAAACAACGAGAAAAGCAAAAAAAATAAACCAGGCCAAAACTTGAAGCAATAAAAGCACAGCAAAGCCTGCAGCAGTCACCATCACCAATCAGTGTCCGCTCTGTCGTACCACGTTTCTCGATCGAGCCCAAGCCGAAGATCATCTGTTGCGATCTCTCAAACACAAGCGCTGCATTGCCGACAACACCAGGCTTCACTACCCGTTGACACCGATCGAGAACCCAGTCTGTCTTCTCTGTCCACATCTGCATCCGCTTGCACATCTCTCAAGCTTCCAGGACCACGCTTGCGCGAATCACCTCCCCACCGAAGTGCACGAGATCTCGCTGGACATCGGCCTCTTCCAGGATGGCTTGGCGCGTGCCAAACGAGAAGGACACCGAGGAGGTGGCGAGCAGCATGGCGGATACGGAACGCCCCAGCAAGCAGCGCAAGACTACGCACCCCAAGGGCAAGGGCGGCCACCACAAGAAAGGCGCAAAGGTAGAGGGAAAGGACGCGGACGGGGACGCCAACATGCAGGACAAGGAAGAGGAAGAGCAGCAGGGCGTGACAAGCCCAGCAGCAGCCGCAGCTTCAGGACAGCAAGTACGACGCCAACAACGAGGAGGAGAAGCCTACCAGACCAAGTGCGACCCCAAGCTGAAGAAGTTGCTCACGGTGCTGATCAAGCAAGTGCCGGCCAACACGCAGCAGATCGCCTGGGTCGTTTCCGCGGTCTACAGCACGTACCTGATGCCGACTCAGACCAAGGTGATCAAGGCGCTCCGAGCCTGCAGGAAGATCTACGCGGACAAGTGCAAGGAGGCGGGCAAGGGACATTCGCTGGGACCACCAGAAGGACACCTCTACGTCACGCTTATTTCGACCCTCTGCTCCGAGGACGTGGGCGCCAAGACCAGGAGCATTCTCACAGAGCACGGGAAGTTCGTGGACCAGGTCAGCGCGGCGACAGTCCTCAACAAGGCGAAGCACTTGAAGATCAGCAAGTGCTACGACAGCAACCAGGCGAAGATCACTGCGCATCGAGCAGGGGCCCTGGACCGACGCGGAGGCCGAGGGGGATCCTCCAGAGGGGCAGAAGCAGCAGAGCAACATCAAGGACAGCATCCACAGAGCGCCGATCCAAGCGGGAGCCACGGTGAAGACGGGCAAACCACCAGCGGGAGTCATGGAGGATGAGCTGGCTGCGTGGTTGGCAGGGCTATGACTATGAGAAAATGGATGGCCGACTCGACTACGCCTCGTTCGGCAAGGTGATCGGCGCGCGTGGCGCCGTGATCACAACGAAGGTGCCGCTCTGAGCGGCGACGGCGGGGGCCCATCCATGCGGCTGATCGCGCTGCTCCGCCCCCCTATGCCGCTCTATCTATCTACCCTCTCCCCCTCCATCCCTCCCTCCCTCCCTCCCGGGGCCACCGCCTCCGAGCCCCATCCCATCGTGGCGCCAGAGCGCGACGCTCCTCCGTAGCTTGTCTGATTTGCTTAAGGACCCCAGCGTCGCGCTCCATGCGTTTGGCCGCGTGCCCCGGCAGCGCCGGCGCGACCATCACGCGGCCGCCCTTGCGAGCAGCGCCAGTGAAGACACCGACCTCGGCAACGAAACCGAACTTCAGGAAGCCTCCGCCGCCGTGCGGCTTGCCCTTGCTCCTAGCCTTCGCCGTGGGCTCGGCGACGGCTGGAGGCGCGGCTGGGCCGCCGCGCCGCGCGCCTCGCACTCCATGGCGCACATGTACTCGCGCAGCTGGGCCTGCCGCAGCATGACCTCGACGCCGACCGCGCTCGGCAGGTCCAGGGGGGCCCAAGTCAACAGGTAGTCGACCATGCGCACCATCGACTCATGCGATATGCCAAAGTTCTCTCGGGAGAGCCTGTAGCACGCCACGAACCGGTGGAAATGCTCGATGGCCCCCCCACGCTTGCGATCCAAGAAGCGCAAACACCACATCGTTGCGCGGGGGCCATCGAGTGGCCAGTCGGGGAACAGCTCCTCCATGAGCCAATCTACACCCTCGTGGAACAGCACCCGACGCCGCGAGCCGTCAGCGAGCAGCGCCACGGGCTGGAGGCGAGCACCCGACGCCGCCGCGGCCCCTTGGTACGAGGCCTGCGATGTCACGACCCACCTGCTAGCCGACCAGCTGCCATCGGGCGCTTGCTTCAAGCCGATATCGCCGCGCACCACCTCCGAGCCGCCCAGGGCATAGAGGGCTCTCCGCGCCGCGCCGCGGCGGTCGTCTCGACGTAGACCCACTGCCCTCCAGGCCCAGGGACCGCGCTGGGCCCCAGCACTCCGACCAACGGGAGGGCCCCAGCCAGCGGGGCCGCGGCGGGAGCAGCAGGCGCAGCAGCGGCGTGCGCCGCGGGCCCGGCGGACGCGGGGGCAGCCGCCACGGCGATGGCCGCCGCCACCAGCGGAGCTGGGGGTGCCGCGCGCGCGCCAGCAGCCGCGGGCGCGGGAGGGCCGCCGCCGGCAGCAGGCACCGCGAACGAGAAATACTCGCAGACCCCTGTTGGCGGCACCGCGGGAGGCCGCCCAGCCGCCCGTTCGTTCGCCAAGGACACGTCCCGCGCGCAGGCCTCCAGCTCGTTCTGAATCGCGCCTTTCTCGGCGGGCGTCAAAGCCCGACGGAGGCGGCGCTGGTCGGCGGCGCCCAGGCCCGCGGGCCGCGTCCGACGATCGTCCTCGAACCCCACCGCCGACAACGACCCATCAGAGAGGTCGCAGAGCTCCTCGTAGACGTCGCCGCCCAACGTCGAGATCATCACCCGAAGCGGCGACCAGGGCGGATCAGTCGGACGCGATGAATCGCCCGGCCCCGCGCGCGCCGCTGAGGCCACAGCCAGGCCGTCCTGGCCCAGGCCAGGCGTGCCCGTGCACCGACCGGCAGAGGCTGGCTCCCGGGGCGGGTCCGGCCCCCGCGGCGGCGGCGCGCGCGCGCAGCTGCCGGCCTGCGGGCAAGAGGCCGCCCGGCTGCGCTGGAGGCGGGCAGCCCCCGCGCCCGGGCGCTCTCCCCGTTTAAAGATAGCTCGAGACCTTCGGGGGCGGCGCGCGCGCGGCGTCGGGCCGCGGCCGCCCCGTCGATCCGAGGGGCCGCCCAGCCGCGCCGGAGCAGCTGGCGCCGGAGGATGCCACAGCGGCGCACCGGCGCACGGCGCCCACGCCCACTGTCGGAGCCCCAGCGGCGCCAGCACAAGCGACATCGCGAAGAATAGCACGATGCCGATGGACCAGAAAGCGGGCCAGGATGGCCGCCCCGAGCCTCAGCACCTGCGAGGCGAACAGCACGAGGTTGACGCCCAGCAGCAGCAGCAGCGCGAGCCAGCCGGCGCACCAGTCGACCGGCGCGATTTCCGCGGGCTCCGCGGGCTCCGCGGGTTCCGCGCTCGCGGCCGGCGGCGAGGCAGCCGCCGCAGGGGCCGCGGGGCAAGCCGCGGGCGGGCGGACGTACACCGGAGGGCCCTGCGGGCAGGCGGGGCGCGCCGGCTGGGAGCAAGCGGGGCAGGCTGGGCGCCGCGTAGACCAGCCCACCAGCGTCTGCGACACCGCGCCGACCACCCAATCAGCGTAGCGCGCGGGGAAAGGTCACACCACGCGGGCGGGGGATGCTGTCGCCCAGTGCCTGGCATCAGCGAGCAATCGGTCGCGGGCGTCGAGACGCGCGGCCCCCTTCCCGACAAAGCTCTCAAACAAGATTCCCACGCACGCATTGCCATGTTTCGTGATCTTAGTATTACTCGTCGTTTTCGTATTCGCCCTCCTCCTCCTCGCCCCCGACTCCCCCCCTGGCCCTCCTTCGCCCTCATCCTACTCGTCCTCCCCCCTGCTCCAACTCCTCCTTCCTCCCTCCGTACTCCCTCGCTGCTTCCCTGGTTCTCAGCCAGCCTCGCCCTCCTCTTCGCCCCCGTCAATATTCCTCCTCCTCCACCTCCACCTCCACCTCCACCTCCTCCTCCTCCTCCTCCTCCTCCTCCTCCTCCCTCCTCCTCCTCCTCCACCATCCTCCTCCACCTCCTCCTCCCCTCCTCCTCCTCCTCCTCCTCCTCTCCTCCTCCTCCTCCTCCTCCTCCTCCTCCTCCTCCTCCTCTGTATATAATTATTATTCGAATTATTCTTCTTATTATTCTTAATTATTCTTCGTTCTTCTTAGTTTTATTCATTCTTATTATTATTATTATTATTATTAGTATTATTATTATTATTATTATTATTATTATTATTATTATTATTATTCTTCTTATTCTTCTTCTTCTTCTTATTATTCTTATTATTCTTCTTATTCGTATTATTATTCTTATTATTCGTCTTCTTATTATTCTTATTATTATTATTCTTCTGATTCTTCTTCTTATTCTTATTAGTATTATTATTCTTCTTATTATTATTATTCTTCTTTTTCTTCTTCTTATTATTATTATTCGTAGTATTATTATTATTATTATTATTATTCGTCTTCTTCTTATTATTATTATGATTATTATTCTTATTATTCTTATTCTTCTTCTTCGTATTATTAATATTATTCGTATTATGATTATTGTTCTTCGTATTCTTCTTCTTATTATTATTATTCTTATTCGTTTTATGTTTCTTCTTCTTCGTCTTATTATTATTATTATTATTATTCCTCTTCTGCTTATTCTTCTTATTCTTCTTATTCTTCTTATCATTATTCTTATTCTTAGTAGTATGCTTCTTATTCTTATTATTATTAGTATGCTTCATATTATTCTGCTTATGATTACTCTTGTTAATATTATTAGTCTGCGTCTTAGTATTATTATGTTTCTTCTTAGTATTAGTATTCGTATGATGATTATTATTCTTATTATTCGTATTATTATTCTTAGTAATATTAGTATTATTATTCTTACTATTGATATTATTATTATGCTTCTGCTTCGTCTTCTTGTTATTCTTCTTATTCTTCGTAATATTATTACTCGTCATATTATTCCTCTTCCTCCTCCTCCTCCTCCTCCTCCGCCTCCTCCGCCTCCGCCTCCGCCTCCTCCTCCTCCTCCTCCTCCTCCTCCTCCTCCTCCTTCTCCTCCCTCTCCTCCTCCCCTCCTCTTCCTCCCCTCCTCATTCTCCTCTCCTTCTCCTCCTTGCCCCTCCTCCCCCACTAGAGATTCTATAGGTGCTACTGAGATGGTGGCGCGTGACGGCCGTCGGCGGGTCTCCCGCGCGGCCGGAGCACTGCAGTCCCAAGCTGGCGCATACCCCCCAACACAAGCGCGGCCCCCCGTTCGGCGGCGAGCCGCCCCCGAGGAGGAAGGCGCGCGCCAGCCGGGGCCTAGCCTCGCATACCCGGGACCACGCAGGCGAGCGCCACCACGCGGTCCCACCGCCAGGCGCCGCGGCCCCACCGCCAGGCGTCAGCCGCGAGGTCCTGGGCGTGCCGTCAGCTGGCCAGGCGCGCTCAGCGCCCTGCCCGCGGCCCCGCCAGGCCTGGTGCTGCGCGGCGGCGAAGACAGCGACGGCCGCGTGGCGCTGCAGCACGCTGCCCAGCGTCTGGCGTGGCCGGCGGATGGCCGCCGACCGCCCGTCGTCTTCGGGCGGCGGGGCCAGGTGGCGCACCGAGGCCAGGGCTCCCTCCCCCAGCCAGCCACGGTCCTCGATCGCGAACGGCGAGCCACTCGACGCCCACGTGGGCGATCTCGTCCGCGTCGCCTCCAGGAGACACCTCCACGCCAACGGGCTCACGCTGGCCAGCGCGCCCGCTCCGTCCAGCCCGAGTCTGCGCAGGCAGCGCGGGAGGCAGAAGTGCCACGACGCCGCCTGGGCCGCCGCGACCGCGAGCTGCACGCTCTGCAACCCCAGCCCGCCGTCCTTCCCCGCGCGGCAGAGCTTCCTCCCGCTCAGACCCTCCAGTGGCCGGCCGCACAGGTGCTGCACCTCCGTCAGGAGCGCTGCGTCTAGGGCGCGGGCCCCCGTCGTCGGGATGCCGCAGGTGCACGCGAAGAAGGTGTAGTCGGAGCTCGTCCGGGCTCGCAGCAGCGCGAATGCCTGCTGCGCGTCCACTCCAGCGGCCCGGAGCTCTCTCAAGCGGGGGTACACGCGGGCCGGGGAGGCCGCCAGGCGGGCAACCTCTGGGCTGTCCAGCGCCAGCATGCTGCCGTCGGCCGGCAGCGCGGCTGGAGCAACTGGTACCCCTGGGGGGCGGGCAGCGCGCCGTGGCGAAGCACGAAGGCCCGCGGCTCCACCTCTTAGAGCGCAGGGAGCGCTGCCACGTCCACCTGGCGCCCTGGGCTCACTTTGGTTTTGGTCGGGTTGCCACGAAGGCCAACCTGCGCACACGCAGCGACGAACACCGCCTCTGTCTGCGCCGCCGCCGCGGGTTCGCAGATCACGTCCAGGTCGTCATGGTAGCAGTAGCTGCGCCCTGGCTCGGTCGCCGTCCCGGCCGCGGCCACCACCGCGTCCGCCACGTGCTTGCAGCAGAGCGGGAAGAGCTGATTGGTGAGCGCGTCGCCTTGGTCGCCCACCTGCTCCTTGGGGAGCTCCGTGCGGCTCCCATCCCGCGCCACGTGCACATCTTCGTCCTCCTCCTTCCCCTCCTCCTCCTCCTCCTCCTCCTCCTCCTTCTCCTCCTCCTCCTCCTCCTCCTCCTCCTCCTCCTCCTCCCTCCTCTCCTCCTCCTCCCTCCCTATCCCTCCCTCCTTCCTTCCCTCCCTCCCTCCCTCCCTCCCTCCCTCTTTCCCTCCGGCCCTCCCGCCAGCACGCCGCCCGCCCGCTCTCCATCACTCCCTCCTCAGTCCCTCCCTTCTCCCTGGCGCCCTCCTCCCTTCCTCCCTCCTCCCTCTTCCCCTTGCTCCCCATCCACTACCCTCCTTCCCTCCTCCCCTCCTCCCCTCATCCCTCCTCCTCCTCCTCCTCCTCCTCCTCCTCCTCCTCCTCCTCCTCCTCCTCCTTTTCTTTTTGTTGTTATTAGTTGATGTGTTCTTCTTATTCTTATTCGTATTATTAGTATTAGTCGTATTATTCGTTTTATTATTCTTATTATGATTATTATTGGTAGTACTATTGTTATTGTTGTTATTAATAGTATTGATAATATTATTATTAGTTAGTATTAGTATCATTACTATCCGTATTAATAGTATTGTTATTTTTTATGTTTTATTATCATTTTTATGATTAGTATTATTATTATTAGTATCGGTATTATTAGTATTATTAGTATTATTATCAGTATTATTATTATTAGTATTATTCGTATTATTCTTGTTTTTCTTATTGTTATTAGTTTCTCGTTACTCTTCTTCTTAAAAGTAGTATTAGTAGTGTTCTTAGTACGCTTCGTATTAGTATTCTTATTTTTCTTAGTAGTACTATTATTATTAGTAGTGTCATTCTTCTTCTTCGGAATAATCGTATTCTTCTTATTATTATTCGCCTTCGTATTATTATTAGTCATATTTTTCTCATTCTTATCATTATAATTAGTCGCATTATTCTTCTTATGATGATGCTGATTATTGTTATTAGTATTATTAGTATTCTTCTTGTTCTTCTTATTATTAATCGTCATATTCTTCTTATTCGTGGTATGATTATTATTCATATTCGTAGTATGTTGTTTCTTCTGTGTACTATTATTAGTCTTATTATTATGCTTCCGCTTCTTAGTATTATTACTAATAGTATGATTGTTAGTATTAGCATTATTGGTTTTATCATTATTATTATTAGTTATTCCTCCTCCTCCTCCGCCTCCTCCTCCTCTTCCTCCTCCTCCCTCCCTCCCTCCCTCCCTCCCTCCCTCCTCCCTCCTCCTCCTCCTCCTCCTCCTCCTCCTCTCCCCTCCCTCTCCTCCTCCTCCTCCTCCTCCTCCTCCTCTTCCTCACTCCTCCTCCTCCTCCTCCTCTTCCTCCTCCTCCTGCTCATCTGCTTATTATGAGTATTAGTCTTATTAATATTAGTATTATTACGCTTGTTCTTAATACTT